CAAACTTATGGAACCAGTTTCCAGAGGAGCTCCACCTAGCCCCCTCCCTGTGGACTTTTAGGAAGTGATTAAAGACATTGCTTTTCAGGGAGACTTGCCACACCAACCCCAGTTTAGCACTTTCCTCCCCGTCTTCCCCCCTCTTTCCTCCCCTCTTTTCCCCCATCCACTTTGACATTAGTTGGTGCCATCTGGTTTTTTTCTTTTTCTTTTTGGTTTTCTTCTTCTTTTTAAAGGGTTTTTGTTATCAGTTTTAATATTTCTATATTCATTTGTGTTTTCTATTTTAGGAGCTTGTAACCCACCCAGAGTAGTGCTGCGACACTAATGGGAGTGGGATACAAACTGAATAAACAAATACAAATAAATAAATACTGTAATGTTTAAATATTCCATTTCTTGCTTTATGATTTCCAGTTTATCTTGATTTATATTTTTCACATTCCATGTTCCAACTGATTGTCTTATTTACCACTGGACTTTTCTTTCACCTCTCTGCACTCTGTCCACTAGACATCCTTTAGACATCTGCTTCATTAGGAACAGTGCTACTAAGACTTGTCCTTTGCTCTTCCTCGGTAGCTGATTGAGCACCTTCTGAGCTGGAAGTCTCATCTTCCGGCACTATTTCTTGTTTCATTTTGGACAGCTTCATTATATGGTTTTCAAAGTAAGAAATGTTCAGCAATATTTTACCATTGCAGTAGTAACAAGTTAGCTTCAGCGTCATTGTCATTATCTGTGAAAGATCCTATGGCAGTACTGCTTCCAAGTACTGCTGTGATCCAATAGCTGCCCTCCAGGAGTTTTTGTTCCCCTGTCATCATTGGAACTGTTCATTCTCTTCTGCTGATGTGACTTTTTCTTCTGCTCAAGAAAACTGTTGCATCCTAGCTTTGACTGTTCCACTTTGGGTGGTCCTCCTAGGAATCCAGATTCATTATGGAGCATAGCCCTCTGAGGACACTGCTCTCAGCTTTCCTGACATACAACCTCCCCTCATCACATGATGGTGTGCATCCAAGAGGCAGCCTTCACAGGGACCAGCAACAATTTAGAAGTGTATATAATGCTTTACAATGTTGAAAGCACTTTACATTCCTTATGTCAGGAATCATAAAAGAATTCCATTATTGGGAATAACCATTATTGCTGCTATATGCTATCAAGTCACTTCCGACTCATGGTGACGATAATGTGGTTTTCAAGGTGAAATGTTCTAGGAGTGGTTTGCCACTGTCTCTCCATCGATGAGCAGGGATTTGAATTCAGGTCTCCTGAGTCTTAAGTTTCATACTCCTTGCACTTCACCACACTCCCGTCATAATTATTATAATATCTGTATTTCTCAAAAGTTAAGCAAAAGAAATTGCATTAAATGAAATCTTTATTCTCCCTTAAACCCTCTCTGCTCCCAAGCAGCTTTTGAAAGAAAGAACACTGCATATGGCAAGGAACAGAAACTACTGTTCTATTCTGTTTGATGAGTATTTTTCCACCAGCACAAAAATTCTTTAGGGTACAGAAATTTGCTAGAACTGTTTTTAAAAAAAATAGAGAAACTCCCATTTATCATTTCAGTGAAGCATAAGGTTTTATATTAAATTACAAGAAAAGTTTGTGAAGCTTCTTTTCACTTTGAATTATATGACTCCTTAACTTATTGGCAGCTGGTTGTAAGAGCAAGACGAGAAATCAATGCTGAAGTGTCCATTTATTTTATCAGACTGCCACAGGAGTTTCTGTGATGTGAAGGTTAACAGGATTACATGCACAAGGAGTGCTGGCAAGCTTTAATGTGTACAAATGTTTTATGGTTCCTGCAATTCAAGCTCTATGCTTGTAGTGATGGGACATGGAACATAGAACAAAAGGAACCATGAAATAACTTTTGATAATTTTTCCACTAATTTACTTCCCAGTTCTTCCTGTCTGGTTACTGGTGGAAAGGAGACAGAAAAAAAAATGCAAGCATGGTATAAAAGTAATAACAATAGGATCAATAACAGAATGGCATTAATCTTGACAAGGTATTGCCAAAATGTCTCTATAAAGGTACTGTCTCAATGAAATAAGAAAATGCTACTTTACGTTAATAGAGCAATTTCAATTCCATTTTTGCACTACTTTGGAAATGTAACTTTGTTCTGACCTTATTACCCTTCCACCTTTCCCAAGTTTCCTCCAGTCCCTCTACAGTCTTGCCGGAGAATGACCAATATGAACATTTACAGCAGAGGAACATTATGTCAAGGAACCCAACCCTCTGGGACCACATCCTAGGAATCAATGCAGCCAAAGAAACAGATGGCAATAACACAGAGCTGGTGTTTGGCCACCAATTTTTTCTCCTCTCTCTCTCTCTCTCTCTCTCTCTCCCTCCCTCCCTTTTATCACTTCTGTCCCCTCATATTCTCCTTTCCTTTCCTCCTGTCACTCCCTGCTTCTCATTCATTTTTCTCTCCTTCACAAAAGCTTATGTGTTCCAGAGAGAAGGAGAGCAGGCTGAGCCAGCTTGAGAAATGCAGCAGAAAGGACCTTAGCCTTAGAAGAAAACAGAGGGCAAAACTAGACTGTTTGGTTCTCCCACAGTCTTTTCCCCCAAAAGAGAAAGTAAGTTTTATATCAGGAAAGGAAGGAACTGGACTGATAATGTGGCAAGAAAGGAGGGTTTAACTCTGCAGCCCTGTCAATATAATTTGAGAAGAACTGGGTTACAGTAGTGGCTTACTTGAAGTTAGTTGTGCCGTGTTGTGGTTGAAGTGTTGAAAATTAGGACTCAGGAGAACTGAATTACAATCACCACTCAAGCATGAAGGTCACTTGGGTGACCTTAGGGCAGCCACTGTCTCTTAGGCTGATTTAGCATACAGGGTTGCCATAAGGATAAAGTGAGGAGGAGGAGGAGGAGGAGAGTGAAGTACATTGTAGAGAATTAACATTATTCTTGATCTAGATTTCACATTTTGAGCTTTTATGCAGCAGTCATACATTTACTTAGCTGGGAATACACTGTTGTGAACTCAACAGGACTTACTTTCACATTGAGGTATACAGAATTCTGCTGCAAATACAATCTTTGTCAATATCTCTTTTTACAACACTGTTAAGCACTGACTCCATCACTCATGACGCTTCTCTTGGACAATGAAAACTTCAGGACTTGGCAGTCCATGAAGATAATTTAACATGCTAATATAAATCAATTTGGCTTTGCAAATTCAATATTTGAGGGCTTGAGAATTTCTCAAATGTCAGAAAAGGGCCCAACATACTACATTTGCACTTCTTGGGTATATTTGCTGTCTAAGAGCAGAGAAAATGAATACAGCTTAAAGTTTGCCGGTCAAATTGAATAAGCCATACACCAAGTTAATGCAAGAATCACCACTCAACCATGAAGGTCACTTGAATAAGCCATACACCAAGTTAATGCAATCTAAAAGATAAGTGAGAATCCAGATATTTGGAATTTGATATTTAAAAACTTTTGTGTTTTAAAAAAACTCTGATGCACGGTGGACGTCAGAGTTGCGAATCTCTTTTTAAAGAAAGTTGACTTTTAATATTAAGTTTTAATTTTTAAAAATTGGTTTTTCTTCTCATGCTTCTGCATGGTTTCGGAGACCTTTAGGGGCACAGAAGTAATGGAAAAATGCTTTTACTAAATGGAGTCATTCAAATCTGAGCAATGTCGGAGAAACAGGGATATGGGCAGATTGGGGGCTCTGACTATGAATTTGTCCCTTCGATTTGGTTTAACAGCTGCAGACGGACGTCGGAGACGTTTAACAGCTGCAGACGGAGAGGCGCTTTACAGGTTTTCAAGAAGCGTCGGTTAGAGGCATCTAAAGGCAAACTCCTGAAGCAAGATGTGACGCATCAGGTGGCAGCGCCAGAGTGCAAAACCCTAAGAGTGCAAAAACCGCGTCAGCCTCGCCGTGCTTCAGGGTCAGCAATGATGCCTTCTGCAATCCGCCCTCCGCCCCCGCCTTTTTGGTCCCCCCGCCGAGCGCGTCGTTCATCATCCTACCGAGGCCAGTTCAGGTGGCGAGAGGGACTTACCCTTCCCTTCCCTTGCCTCCGATCGCGAGGCCAGGCCCAAATTCTTCTTCTCTTTTAGAACCTCCCCTTGTCTCCTCCTCCCGGGGGAGGAACGCGGGAGGAGCGGGGGGGGGGAGGTCACGTATGTTTGGGAAAATATGTAGGTCAGTGGAACATTTCCTGCACTCATGCAAAAACAAGGGAAGGGAGCGCCCTCTCTTTTCCTCCTCCTCCTCCTCTCCCCCGCGCGCAGCTTTTCTCTCCCCGTTTAGCCACCCCCCCCCAAAAAAAACTGAAGCCCACCTCCTTTTCTGGAGTGCGGGGGAGGACAGGGGGCGGCGATTCTGGAGAGTCCCCCTCTTTTTTTTGCATCTCTGACCCACTTCGCAGCTGCACGCCACACCGGCGGCTCCCGCTCCGCTTTGCCAGCGAGAGAGCCTTGCTTCGTTTCTCTCCCGGGCGCAGTGGAGGAGCCCGAGGAGCCTCCCTCGTCCCTCCTGCCTCCCCCGCCCGGCCAAACCGGGAGCCACGGATTTCCTCTTGCCGCGGGAGAGGCACCCGAGAGCGAAGGGGAGCGCGCGGAGACCCCCCCACACTGATGGTCTGAGGGCAGCCGGGAGGCGCCCGGCTGCGCCCCCCAAAACAGCTCTCCCCACCCGGGCTGAGGGTGGGGGCGGATGAGACGCTGCCGGGGAGAATGCCCCCCTCTGGCCCCCGGGGCAGCAGGTTTCGAGCGGAGGAGCCCCTCCGGGAACTGGCGAGGTTGCAACTTGATGCTTCGAGGGAAGCCCGCGCCAACAACAGCC